TTATATATATATATATATATATATATTAGGACTGTTTCATCTCTTGTGATTTATAGTGAAAAAGATAATTTATTCTGTATCTATTTCTTTTAAATAAAGATAAATTTTAAAATAGTCAGATGCACTTATTAAACAATGATGGAAAATTCAATGTGTTAATTATGCACCAAAAACTTCAATTTTAATGAAACATTTTTACAGTCACTGGCACCTAGACTGATCTTTTCCTCAACAGTTGTAAGAGGTTTCTTTCAAAATGAATTTTTCTTTACTGGATGCAAATGAAATTTCCTGAAAACTATCAATTAAAACATAATCAGCATTGAGTTGTCAAAGATTTAATCAAAACCAAATGTTTAAAGAAGAAAATTCAATGATATGGGTTTCATTTCTTTCAGCTGTTTTAAACATAGAAAGAAATTACTGTGATAATATTTCAGTATCTGAGTGGTAAAGAAAATGAATCACTTTAAATTACTATTGTAGGATATTTGACTAATGAGTAACACCATATATGAAACTTAAGATGTACATTTTCTCAACAGTCATAAGAGTATCATATTTAAAACTGGCAGACTTTTAACTAAACATGGGAAGCAAGCTGTAAGCAGTTCAGGATATCGCCTACATTTTTCAGAAGTATGACTCTTGAGCAAAGAATCATGCATCACTGTAACTTCCTGGTTTTTAAGGTTTACATGAAGAAGGTGTTGACCAAATTAATGGAAGAAGAGGAAGTGTGAATCATAAGGTCCTGTCAAAATAAGCAGTTAAATCAGAAACTGATATTGTGATGACAGTGTGTTTTAGAGTGGGTGTGAGTTCAAAATGTACATCATAATATCAAGATTAGTTTTTAATTAAATGGGTAATTCAACTTGGATGAAAATATTAGTTTGTAGGTTAGGAAATAGATAAAAATAATGAAGTTTGAACTTGAAGTTTTAAGTTTAATTGAAATATGGGGACATACAGGAAAATACAACTTGTCTTTGAACTTTGTAGACTAAAACATTTCAAACCATAAAGGCTGTTACACTAAGCAGTATGTATATGAAGATTACTAAATAGTACCTGACAATTTGTTAAAAACACATTAGAAATTCTTTGCAGTGCCTGGAAATGGTTACAGTAAAAAAATATAGTTAGTAATGTGGTGGATTGATGGTAGCATCCTTATTCTATTTTCAGCTATGTGATGTCATTAAAGGTTTGTATACAATCAAGAACTTCAATATTTGAATACTAATTTTAGTTTTTATGTTTCTTTTGGTTTTCACATTTATTTTTTTGCAATGTTACAGTGGGAAGACTGTCCACTGTAAGAAAAGAAGTTAAAAATCTTTGAATAATGCTATGCTTTTAAGTGCATGAGGGCAAGTCACATTTAAGAGACTAATTCCTTAAGTAAATTATCTTGTACCTGTACTTATCAATGACCTCCAAAAAATATTAAGTGGGTGGAGCTGAAGTAAACTGTTTGTTTGTAATCTTTGTTATTGTACTTTTAATGCAATGTACAGGTCTGAATTATTTAAATCTAATTGTACATGTATCTTGTTTGATGATTTTTATACTTGAAAATACAATATAATATTTAAGTTATGTTTCTTTAAAGGGAGAAGATTTATAGAGTTTTCGATATTGAAATGTTTGCAGTAGTAAACTTTTTGTTTGTACATTAGTATATTATGATTGTGTACATCAGGCTATTATGTGCATTAAAATCTTATGTTTGTGTGTACTTTTGTACATTATATATGTTTGCCTTAGAATATTCTTTTATATATACACACAGTAGTATATTATGTGTACTTGTTCTGATACGATATCTTATCTCTCTCTCTCTCTCACACAAAGAGCTTTTCTCGATTAGTACTATCCTCTATTGGCGCAAATTTTCAACACTTTCACCAATAGCCTTCCATCTCCTGCTTTTGCTTATCCACTTGTAAATGATTATGCAGCAGCTCTCCACCAATAGGAGCATGACACAACCCCTATTATAACCAATGCCATCTCTACATTTGCACTCATTAATATTTTCTCGATTGGCAGTAGTACTGTACAGATGTGCTTGTTTTTGCTCGCAAGTTTGTTTATGTTTTCCCGAGAGGTCTGTCTTCCTGAGTGTTGCATCATACCACTCAGTTGAGAGTAGGACAGTGGCATTCTGAAGATGTCGATGGCATATAGCACTTCCAGATACTGCCAAGTTTTGGTTGTAGCAATACATTATATTAACATATATCTGAAAGATTGCTTTTTCCCACTGTAGAATTCCTCCTTCCTGCCATTCTCCTGGTGGGTCTGGTGTTGGTTGGGGATGGCCCGGTCACAGTTAGACTCGTATTGATGGCATAGCATCCTTCTTACTGCAGAACTAATGTACAATTCCAGATACCACCATTACCGTTATTGGTACAGGTTATCAACTTATTGTCATAATAGATAATAACTGTGGTAACAGCACCCTAATGCACTGGGGATGTCCCATCTATCAGACAAAATCCAAACACCGGTGTCAAATCTAGTTGGCTATCATGGAAAATCATTAAAAAAATCAATCATCTAAAGGTACAAAGCTGAGTACTTATGCCTACAATGTCTCAAATTCTACTGCCTTTCATTGTCTATAGCCAGTTGTGTGAAGGCAGTTACCCTTAAATTTCTTAAAGTAGAAATGAGTTGAAACAAAGCCACTTTAATATTTCTACTAATTAAACTCCCAACCTCCACCCTTACAAAGATATATTAAAAATATTATGAAATATTGAATAGAACTAAATAGAACTACAAGATATTAAATAGAACTATACATCCTACCTTAAAAGTTCTTGTGTAGTTCTATATATATATATATATATATAGAGTATTATTGTAGTTTACCCCTCAGGCTGAAATGTTCCTCCTACCTACCATCCTCTAGATGTTGTTCCCAGGGTGGGGGGTGTTATTTGGAGATGGAGAAGAGTATACCTGGATCAGATGTGGTGCAGTCTCTTGCTGAGGTGTGATATTCTCTTTTTTGGTTCCACACCTCATGGTCTCTTTTGCTTTTTCACCGGCCATCTACCAGTTCAATGTGGGATTTTTACTATTTTGTGAGAGGAGGTAAGATATCGTATCAGAAGTTAACATTTTGCTAAACTGAAAATGTATTTCCCATAGATACTTACCTACACTTACGTTTCCCACCCAGCCTCTTCACTTGTGGTTATATGTGGTGTAGGTCTTCTGAACAATCTTGAGGTGATTAAAGGGTTTGTGTCATGCTCCTATTGGTGGAGAGCTGCTGCATAATCATTTTCATGTGGATATGCAGAAGGTGGAAGGCTAGTGGTGAG